TGAGCAATTTGAAAATTGTTTGGAAACAATTTCCACTGAGTGTGCCATTAAAATGGCTTCAAAATTAAAATATTACTGACTTTTTTAAAGTCAATAATCAATAGTTTAGTTTTATGTCATAATCGATAACTTTTTACATTTACCTAGTTATGTTTTTATACAGGTGTATCTGAATGACTGCAACGAACTTCAAGGGGTGATTCTTTAGTGAATTTTAAGGGTACTTTGATATATGAACCATGGGTGACTTCGGCTCTCCTAAGGAGCTATACCCCTCCAAAAATAGCGGAAAATTTTGGTTTAATTTCTTTTTCTCAAAAACCATAAACGCTAGGAAAATGAAATTTGGGGAATATGTTTAACTCATAATACCGTAATACATAATATCAGATACTGTTTGCAAATGACTAAATATTGCTTTCAAAAGAATGGATAAAGGTTACAGATGAAGATCCTACTGGAAGAAGACTACGCCCTGATTGAGGCTTCACGAAGACCACATATAGCTCGTAGAATGTTATACATTGCCATTAGTTTGTCATTAAAAGACAATTTTTACAAAAATTCTTTGAAAAAGACCAAATACTGCCAGGAAAAGGCTAAATACTGCTCCCAAAAAATTAGAAAAGTTTGCAGAAAACTAAATATTGCTTGAAAAAGACCAGATACTGTTTGCAAAAGTCTAAAATAGGTTGCCTAAGAATACATGCTGCTTACAAAACACTAAGTATTATTTGAAAAACACCAGATACTGTTTGCAAATGACTAAATATTGCTTTCAGAGGATTGGATAATGGTTACAGATGAAGATAATTCTGGAAGACTACATCCTGATTGAGGCTTGACAGAAACCACATATAGCTTGCAGAACGTTATCTACATTACCTCCAAAATCCAGTTTGTCATTAAAGAAGACAATTTATATAAAAATTCTTTGAAACAGACTAAATACTGCTTGCAAAAGATTAGAAAAGATTTGCAGAAAACACATACTGCTTACAAAACACAAAATATTCCTTGAAAAAGACCAGATACGGTTTGCAAAAAACTAAATATTGCTTTCAGAAGACTGAATAAAGGTTACAAATGAAGATACTGCTAAAAGAACCCTGATTGACACTTAACAAAGACCACATATAGCATGCAGAACGTTATCTACATTGTCTCCTAAATCCTGTTTGTCATTAAAGAAGACAACTTTTACAAAAAAAATTGAAGAAGACCAAATACTGTTTGTAAAAGATTAGAAAAGGTTGCAGAAAACACATACTACTTACAAAACACTAAATATTACTTGAAAAAGACCAGATCCTGTTTGTAAATGACTAAATATTGCTTTCAGAAGACTGTATAAAGGTTACATGCTGCTGACAAAACACTAAATATTACTTGAAAAAAAACAGATACTGTTTGCAAATGACTAAATATTGCTTTCAGAAGACAGTATAAAGGTTACAGATGAAGATACTGCTGGAAGAAGACTACATCCTGATTGAGGCTTGACAAAGACAACACAGGGTCGCTGATATGTATAGAAACGGTCAGTTATCTCCTAAAGTAAAATAGCTAGTAAAAGATGTTGAGATACAAACGTTGTAGTGTTTTTTAAAATCTATTACAATAACGACAAATTAAGTATACAGGGTCAGTCAAAAAGTTATGACGAAACAATATTACGTTTTCTTTAGTGGAACACCTGTATATTATTCCATGTTTCAGTTCATCTCGAAATTCTAAAGAAAATTCATATAACACATCATAGACCTTAACTTAACCGTTTTCCAGATTTTAAAAATTTACGATATATAATTACGTATAACCGGAAGTGCTAGAAATCTGAAAATATTTTAGTCAAAGAGAACGCAATTGATAATACTTAAGTCTGAATTCTCAAATTTTTATTTTGGTCAGAACCTTACTAACGTCTACACAGACACCGGTATATCAGAGCATCTTATACAGCCTGGTCAAAAATTGAATTACCGTTTCTCCATTTTCAACCGCAAGAATGTCGAAAATTTTAAATAGAACGCCCCACATTTTATTAGCCTACCCGAAAGGGAATTTAATTCTCTATAATTTATCTATAAACATTCCTATACCTATTTATTGTAGTTTCTGTCATATTCGGAAATTTATCAAAACATGCAGGAACCCACGATGCTTTAAAAATGTTGATAAATCACATTTAACGTGTGATTATACTCATCATGTGTCATCATGGATAGATGCTCAAGCGCTTCGAGAATGGTACTCAAACTAGATCAGAAGATGATTGCCCAACATCGTTATATTCTTTTAACTTTAGACAACTGTGCTGCACATAAAACTGAAAACCTAAACTTATCTAATATCACGGTGTATTTCTTTCCGTCCAACACTACAAGTCGATTGCAGCNCGGGATAAAGTTAAGAAAATTGCCGCGACATATAGAATTGAAAATTTTGAATGTTCTTCAACGTCACAACATGGTTGGTTTACAAATGTGCGGTGAGTCAGCAAAAGTAGACAAAAACTCCGTAAATTTGTGGTTATCAAATTTTATAACCGTTAAAAATTCATACGCCCGACGAGATGTGTTTAATATGGATGAAAGCGGAATATTTTACAACTTAATGCCCAACTGTACCTTACATTTTAAAGGAAAACGTTGTCACGGAGGTGCAAAAAGTAAACAACGGGTGACTGTGGTTTTATGCTGTAATTCGTATGGATCTCAAACAACAAGGCGTGGGTAATAGGAAAATCGCGTAATCCACGATGCTTTAAAAATGTTGATAAATCACATTTACCGTGTGATTATACACATCATGTGTCATCATGGATAGATGCTCAAGCGCTTCGAGAATGGCTACTCAAACTAGATCAGAAGATGATTGCCCAACATCGTTATATTCTTTTAACTTTAGACAACTGTGCTGCACATAAAACTGAAAACCTAAACTTATCTAATATCACGGTGTATTTCTTTCCGTCCAACACTACAAGTCGATTGCAGCCACTTGATAAGGGCTGCATAATGAAATTTAAGTCATTTTACAAGGCAGAACGAGTGAAATTTGCTATTTTTGCTATTGAAAACAATGAAAATGTTAAATGGGATTTGCTACAAGTTATTAAAGCAATAGGTTCGTCTTGGAATGCAGTTAATCAACAAACAATTAAACGTAGTTTTAATAAAGCATGGCCGAACACTGATTTAACAGATGAAGAAAATTTAGATTTGTTACCACCAGCACCCAGAGAATGGACTGTTTTACAAGAAATTTCATTTGAAGATTTCGTTAATGCCGATAACGATTTGGCCATTTGTTCAAAGCCTGAGCACTTTTGAAGATAGCGATAACGACATTCCTGTTCCTACAACTAGTGAGCAATTTGAAAATTGTTTGGAAACAATTTCCACTGAGTGTGCCATTAAAATGGCTTCAAAATTAAAATATTACTGACTTTTTTAAAGTCAATAATCAATAGTTTAGTTTTATGTCATAATCGATAACTTTTTACATTTACCTAGTTATGTTTTTATACAGGTGTATCTGAATGACTGCAACGAACTTCAAGGGGTGATTCTTTAGTGAATTTTAAGGGTACTTTGATATATGAACCATGGGCGACTTCGGCTCCCCTAAGGAGCTACACCCCTTCAAAAATGGCGGAAAATTTTGTTTTAATTTTTTTTTCTCGAAAACCATAAACGCTAGGAAAATGAAATTTAGGGAATATGTTTAACTCATAATAGGGCACGTTTTGACCCTATTTGTACTTTCAACCTACCCTTCTAAACTACTAAACTTAACCACCCCCTTTGCATTTTGCGAAAATTTTCTTTAAACAACGGGGTTGTCGATCAAAAGTTGGAATGAATTTTTAATGAAAAAATCTTAGTAGGCTTTGCAACCTTTGTCAGAAATATTTTTGACGTTTAAATGTCAGTTTTTCTTACTATTATTATTGTTTTTCAAATTAATTTTTGAATAAAGTTCTATCGCATTTACGCTCGTTCACTCGACGTTTCAAAATTTTAAATAAAACAATAATAAAGTAAGAAAACCACTGATATTTAAACGTCAAAAATATTTCTGACAAAGATTGCAAAGCCTACTAAGATTTTTTCATTAAAAATTCATTCCAACTTTCGATTAACAACCCTACAGCTTAACAGTTAGTGTTTGCTTAATTATTTTTTTTCTCAGAAATTATTAAATTTTCGAAGAACATCAGAGAGACAAAAAAGTTTTAGAATAGTTTTATCTATCTAACTGAAATTTTTCCAATGTATTTATCATCTTCATAAAAAAAATCTAGGCATAAATTGAACGGGGGTGGTTACGTTTAGTAGTTTAGAAGGGTAGGTTGAAAGTACAAATAGGGTCAAAACGTGCCCTATTATGAGTTAAACATATTCCCCAAATTTCATTTTCCTAGCGTTTATGGTTTTTGAGAAAAAAAAATTAAACCAAAATTTTCCGCCATTTTTGAAGGGGTGTAGCTCCTTAGGGGAGCCGAAGTCGCCCATGGTTCATATATCAAAGTACCCTTAAAATTCACTAAAGAATCACCCCTTGAAGTTTGTTGCAGTCATTCAGATACACCCTGTATAATAAATAAAAGTTTATTCATTAATAAAAAAATATTCGATAACAAAAAACTTCACGTTTTTTTTGCACTTTTAGGATTTTTTGACTGTAAGTTTTAAGTTTTATGTGTTTTGTTTTTATTTATCTGGTTCTTTTTGTGATTTGTAAATTTTTGTTTAATAGATTTGGATTAGGATGGTTAATGATTTTAACTGAAACTAGTCCCAAGTAAATAAATATAAAATTTTCTCAGAGGAATTTGAGGCCTTTTTAAATTTTTTTGGTTTTTAATAAACCTTTTTAATTATTACTCTCTCTGAATATGGATTTTCTGAAATTAATTAACTTTTGGTTATTACGAACACTCCCTTTTCCATATTAATCCGTTATATCAAGATTTTACCTTAATTTAAGTTTACCTTCTTGTAAAACAACAGTAATACAATTTTTAGTTAAGTAAATGGAAGCTTTTCGAGCATGTTCTAAACACCCAGAAACATATTGTAACCACCTTGTACCCTCTAATAAATTATAAAACTTAGCATCTTGCGTTTTAAACAATCTGTAAGTATCCGGGGTACAAATATCCCTTAATTTGTTAAAACTGTGTTGTAATTCTTTAATAGATGGCAGTACTTTCGCTAATTCCATAATGTGGGGGCTTGATATATTCGGGTGACTCTTCCGAATGTGTTCTAAAATAATGTTTTCTTGCGTCCTATCGGTTATCGTTGGTTCAAGATCGGACATTCTGACTAGAGCGGCATTCTTTCTGGTACCCCACACCCAAACCGGGCCGTTACCCTCGCGAAAATGTCGCGCCGCTTTTTTAAAGATGTTATCGTCTGCGGAAATTGGGACGACGAAGTATTTTGGAAGACAAGTCATCTCATAATTTTCGTTGGCGCTACAAACGCGCCAATTATTCGCTGAAGTTCTTTCTAATTCTTTACGCCAATCGTCTTGGGTTCGAAATGATTCTGATTCTTTTGGTGCTCGATCTTCATAAGGAGGACTAAATAAATAGAATAAAAAATAAATTAAATTACGGTTATGAAGTTAGCCATAGATTTTAACCATAGATTTTAAAATCGAAAAATAACCAATTTCTGCAACTCGAAACGCAAATTAAAATTCATATTTGAGTTAGCACTCTTAGAACAACCCCTTTACAAAAATTTATGAGGAGGGTGTTATAAGAAACTGTCTCTTTTTGAGAGTAGTATGATGTTTCCATTGCTTCCAGTTAGTATAAGTTATTCCATTACAAAACGTTATGCCATTGGTGGCCAAAATTTGTCCATTACAAGGAGTAGGCTTTGCCTTACGTACAATCTGCTAACATACATTAGCTTTGTTCGTTGGGATTGCACTACTTGCACTCACTTGCACTAAGCAGTTTAGTGCAGATGTTGTGTGTTCGTTGGGGATAGTGTAGTTTAGTTCAGTTGCACTCATCTGTTCGTTGGGCCATGCGCAGTGCAATTTCGTGCAGCGGGTGCAAGTTAGTGCAGATTTTGTTGCACTTGCTTTCGATTAAGTTCAATAAGTGCAGTGCAATTCAGTGTAACTAAAATGGCGGAATATTTGAAAGCGTGTTTTGTAATAATTAATATTAAATATTAAGAAATAAAACCTTATGATAATTAATATTTGTTGTATATTCAATCCCAATAGCAGAGGCAGTAGAAAACTACCCCTACTTTTTTGGAATAATTTAAAAACTACCCTGTCGATTTTGGCTTCATTAAATACACTTATAGTACATTTAAAAATATTAAGTGTTTTTTCTCATTTAGGGGTGGCTGGGGTTAACTACCCTCACCACCCCAAATTTTTTTTTGTAAGTACTGCTTATCGATTTTGATGCAATTTAGCATGTGATTTCTTTATACGTTAAGTAGTACTTTTGAAAGAACTTATAAGGGTTAGTAGTTTGATGTAGAAAATAAATTTCGCTAATAATTGAAAAAATAAAAAATAATAATAATATAATAATAATAATTGATGAATCGCTACTAGAAAAACATTCTGCGATGATTTCATTTTCCATGAGTAGTAGTTATAGTTTAAAAGAAAAAACGTAGAGACCCAAAAAATTTCAACATTCTGTATCTCGAAAACGGTTGATTTTCGGAGCCATGTTGATTAACACTTTTCGACTTGTTTTCGACTGTAGTACTACCCCTATAAATATTTAAACGTTGTTTTAAAACAGCCCTGTATGTATCATGAAGCTCAAGGTAAAAAGACGCCAAATGAACCAATAAGTTNCGTCGTATGAGTGCCATGTCGTGCAGAGTAGTGCAGTCCCAACGAACAAAGCTATAAATTTGACGTTTCGTTCAAATTACGAAATAACCAAACTCCAGTAATTTGATTTTGCGAAACCTGAAGTGAAATCGTTTGTAATGTATTCAAATGCTGAAATGAGCGATATGGTGTTTATGTACGGCCGTGCCAATGGAAATAGTTTGAGAGCACATCGTTTCTATGCTGAAACATTTCCCAATCGCCGGCTAACAGGGTTCCAAAAAAATCCAGAAAACTACGGGCTATTTGAAAGAGTTCGGGCTTCCTTTGAACGTAGAATGAGAAACTGTATTGATGTTGCTGGTCGACATTTTGAACATCTTCAGTAAAAAACTTCGTTTTGATTAGTATTAGTATTACGTTGTGTCAATTCAATTTTTCTAATAATTTATTTTTAAAGATGTTTTTTTTTCGAATTAATGTTAAATAACATTTTTGAATTTTCTGAAAAATAGTGGTATTTATTTTCACTTCCGATTTAACCGGAAGCAATGAAATCATCATACTATTCTCAAAAAGAGACAGCTTTATACTGTATCGATTTGCCAAGTATCAAATCTGTAGTAGTTATAGTTTAAAAGAAAAAACGTAGAGACCCAAAAAATTTCAACATTCTGTATCTCGAAAACGGTTGATTTTCGGACCCATGTTGATTAACACTTTTCGACTTGTTTTCGACTGTAGTACTACCCCTATAAATATTTAAACGTTGTTTTAAAACAGCCCTGTATGTATCATGAAGCTCAAGGTAAAAAGACGCCAAATGAACCAATAAGTTTTTTACATCACTTTATTACAAATATACTAGATAAAAATGTTAAAACACTGTATTTATTTTCCGACAACTGTGCTGCGCAAAACAAGAACTTTTCTCTGGTCTGTTATTTATACTCATTGGTCCAATCTGGCAGAATCAAAAAAATAGTTCATCGTTATCCGGAGCCTGGCCATAGTTTCCTGCCTTGTGACCGATCTTTTGGAGTCGTCGAAAAATACATGAGAAAAATAGAGCGTGTATACCATTCAAATGAATATCTCCGTCATTACAAGAAATCCTCAAAAAACTTCGAAGCAATACCTGTTGAACAACCTATGATATTGGATTTTGTTGCACATTATAAACCGTATTTCAAGAAAACACTATCTAATAAGGAAAAGCAGAAATTTGCAATATCTAAACTCAGAGTTATATCTTACAACAGTGAACAAAAAGGAATCCAATGTTCAATATCTTCTAGTTTGCTGATTTTAAAAGATTTCCAAATAGCCAAAACTAATCGACACATTCCTTTAGAACCTGCATATTCTGGATCACTGTCGATAAAACTTTAAAAATTAAATAATGGAGGGTGTTTTTTTAAGCTAGATAGAACTTACGAAAGGGTTAACTGTCAAACGAACTGTGATACTGCGCTTACTTTTTGATATTTATGATCAGTATACTCTGGCAAATCATGATGAACAGATTGACGCTTGAACAACGCTACCAAATTATCCATATCAATTCGCATAACTTATAGACGACTTCGTGATTTGTATGGCGTACACAATAGTCCATCTGAGCAAGCCATCCGTCGAACTGTGGATAGATTTCATACCACATACTCTCTAAATGATGCAATAAAATCAACACGTCGAAGAAATGTGCGTGCTGAAGAAAATATCGCCGCTGTAAACGAATGCGTGGAAGAAGATTCAAATTTATCGATTCGTCGTCGGTCGCAGGAATTAGGGCTCTTTCCATCCACTACGTGAAAAATTGTGCCCAAAGTTCTTGGCCTACACCCGATTAAGATCCAGCTGGTGCAGGAATTAAAACCACGAGACCATCATATGCGTCGTTCTTTCGCCGATTGGACTTTAGAGCAGTTGGAAACTGATCCGATGTTTTATCGCAAAATTGTGTTCAGCGATGAGGCTCATTTTTGGCTTAACGGGCCGCATATGGAGTGAAACCAATCCACAACAGACCCTACAGACTCCATTACATCCAGAAAAATGCACCGTTTGGTGTGGTTTGCACGCTGGTGGCATCATTGGACCTTATTTCTTCAAAAATAAAGTCGGAGCTCGCGTTACGGTCAATGGAGATCGTTACCTCACCATGATCAATGATTTTTTGTTTGAAAATATGGATGATATTGATCCGGGCGAAATGTGGTTTCAACAGGACGGCGCTACGTGCCATACAGCGACCGCAACCATCGACTTATTGAAATCAAAATTTGGCGATAAGTTGATTTCGAGAAATGGATATGCCAATTGGCCTCCAAGGTGGTGCGATTTGACACCTCTCGATTATTTCCTTGGTTTATGCTGATAAACCAGCAACAATTGACACCTTGGAGGCCAACATTGTTCATGTTATTCGTGACATACGGCCAGCAATGCTCGAAAAAGTGGCCCAAAATTGGACTTCCAGAATGCGCTTCGTCAAGAACAGCCGCGGTGCCCATATGCCCAAAATCATTTTTAAATGTTAAATGCCATGAATTGATCTTTCGATCAAAAAAAATTTTTGGTTTAACATTTAATTTTTTGTGTTACTTTTTTCAATTTAAAGTTCTATCGGGCTTAAAAAAACACCCGTTATAATGACATTGGCAAATAAATATGTACCCGAAAATGATTTACCCTGTAAGATGGTAAATCATTTTCTTCAATCTTTAAAATCTGATAATGTAGTAGAAAATGATTATGAAACTGATGTGACAAATGAAGATGTAAATGAGTAACTGTTTAAATGAATAGCTGATTTTGTAAATATGTTTCAGTATCAATAAAATAATTTAAATACTAACAATGTAGTACTTTTTTTAAAAATTGGTGAGAACGAGGTAGCTCCAATAAACAATTATGAATAAACAAATACTTGAAAGTTTAATTTTGCTAAAAATGCTATTAACCAGTGTGAAACTTATTTGATCATAATACAAAAAAATAACTAATTGTATAAGACTTAGAGTATTGCTACAAAAACGTTTCTTATGTCTCCTGAACAATTTGGTAAAATGGAGTTGACTTGTTGTTGCTGCAATTAACTCCTCTGTATTAAATAAAGCTATGACGTGTATCGCTTTTCTTGTAATCTATTTCACCACACAACACGACAAGGAAAGGCTTCAGTCTGTCACGTAATTTTTTGTATAGGGGTTATTCTAAGAGTGCTAAACTCAAATATGAATTTTAATTTGAGTTTGAAGTCGCAGAAATTGGTCATTTTTCGATTTTGGTCGAACAGTACACGCGCGCACGCGATGTTCACAATTTTGGGATTTTATTACGCCCTTAAATGAAAACACCCCCCGTAGATTTTTATATAGGGGTTGTTCTAAGAGTGCTAAACTCAAATATGAATTTTTATTTGCGTTTCGAGTTGCAGAAATTGGTCATTTTTCGATATGTTATATTAAAATCTATGGCTAGAATCTTTGGCTAACCTCACAACCGCAATTAAATTAAATTTAACAACTTAATAACTTACCAATAATCAAAAGCAAATAATAATTGTAATCTTTTTGGCGCAACGTGATATAATATAGCATTCGTGATATGCCTAGTCAGGTCCCTGTCGACAAGTTTTAAATTGAAATGAAAACTTCTCATATTTTTACAAATAATTAAAAGCTCTTTAACTCTCCCAGAAACATTTTGACCCAAATTCAATTTCTTCTTGGATTTATCACCCAATTGATAAACACAGTCAATACATGATAAACAAACTTCATAGGGCCCCAACAAATAATTTTGTTGATAATAAAGTTGCTCTTCATCTTTATCGGGTATAAACGAAAGCTTAAAATTAGTAACTGTTAATACTCCACGTTTTATTTTGGTTGTGTCGCTAATCGATTGATAAATAAAAACTTTTGGGGCCTCACGTATAATAACTTCCTCTAAAAATTAAAAAAATTCATAAAATTATAATAAAGTGTTATCTAGGTCATTACTTTCAAGTAGCTTAGATCGTTGTTCCCCAAGCGAAATATCCTAAACACACACAAAATATTCGTTGGTGTTAATTGAATTAGTTAACTTTTTAATGGCTTATTTTTTACTTACGTCCAAGTCGCTGGAACCATCGATGTAACTTTTAAACCTGGAGTTTTTAAAGTCGTTCATTACGGTTAATTGAAACATTTATATGGTTTTTAATTATTTTTATCCCATACCGAAGTTTTAAACGGTTTTTAAACGTTAAAAAACACGAAAATCATGCAAAAAACACTTATGTCAAAACGGGAACTAAATAAGGTTATGTTTACTTGGGGACATTTCATTCTTTTCATTTGTTTAACTTGACAAATTTAAACTGAATAATAAAAATTTATCAAAAAAAAATCATTTTTTGTGCCATAAATGAATCATTACAAGCTAAGCGGAACTTATTTCGTCTTTAACTTTTTTTATGATAAGGTTAATCGTAAAGTGTGATTTTAATTAATCTTACTGACATAACCTCATTTGAGGTGTCAATGTCATTATCAACACACCCACACATTTCGAAATATTAACAATTTTTTAAATAATATATCAATAAAAAAACGTTTTAATTGTGTTAATAATTAAATATAATATTATATTTTTATTATTATTATACGGTTTAATTCTTTAATAGGAACTTTTTATTTTTTTATTTTGTCAAACCTGAGTTATTCAAATAATTATTAAACAATACATTAAAAAGAATTACATTTTATTAAATAAACTTGCAATTCTTTTATCAATAAGTAAATTGAAATTAAAAAAATGTAATCTTTAACCTTTTAGATAAATAATAAAAAAATATTTCTAATCTAAACATACTTAACCTCACAATGATGTGTCATTAACACACTCGAGAGTTGTCTTTTCAAAATGTTAACATCATTTTCGGTTGGAAATATGTGATAAAAATTCGTTAAAAATCTGTATTGTAATCTTGAAAAGCCAAGAAAATGGGTAAAACACGTAAAATTAGCAATAATCATTTGATCCAACCCAGGTGAATGATGCAACTTTTTTGAAAATGATGTTTAAACAATTATTTTTTAGACCGTATGCGAATCCGGGATTGTGGGTAGGTTTTTTGTTACCCCTTTGCATCTTGGTGAGTTTAATAAAGCACTCAGTTGAAGCTTCTAAGTTGTACCAGCTCACCGCTTTATTAACATTGGGTATTTTGTATACAACAACGGTTTTCATTATACGATATTCTTCCACACAATGTACCGTTATACCTAAAAGGAGTTTATTTTTACCTTTTATTGTAATAACAGCTCTTTATCATTTACATTTCGATAAGGGTAAATATAACAATTTTAGTTAATTTTAATTAATGAGCGAATAATTTTTGTTTTAGGGCTAGCGTTTAGTTGTTTTGCTTCGTTATTATCAACATTGGGTTTTTATAAATTATACCTATTTGTGTTAAGTGGATTTCCTCAATGTTTTACTTTGGGGGAAGCTTTGGCTTGCGCTCAAGGTTTTACCATATTTATCTTTTCTTCCATTGTGAATATTATGGAAAGTTTTAAAAAACCACCAAAGACTACATCACAAATGAGTACAATAACGCTTCAGGTAAACAGTTTGATTCTAAATGGGTGTATTGAGTAATAAAAATTATATTTTAGGTTGGATTATTAACTGTAACCTCCTTTGTATACATGTTGTACAAACATCCAAGTTTAAGATCGCCTAAATTGTTTTACCCTAGCCTTTTTCTTGCTCTCACTTTTCTTATGGTCATCCCACTACAGATTTTAATCTTAAAAAATCCACTCGTATGGATTTTTGAATTATTTACAAGAGATACCATGCAGGTAAATATAAAAGTTTTATGAAATAAATCAAATTTCTAACTGCTGTGAAGTTATCCATAAATCCCAGCCATCATAAACTCATAAACTTCATAAACTTCAAGAACAGTTTACAACCCCCATTTGGTAAAAAAAAATGTTTCAATCTCCACCCCCGAAAAAGGGTTGTTTTGACCTTGATAGGCACCTTCGAATTACGCCAAATTCTACCACATAGGTAATAAAACACAGTTCTAAGTATTTTTATCAGTTTTCAAAACACTATAACCTTAACAATTTTCAATAAACTTAACGGTTTTTGAGAAAAAAAATTAACATTAGAAACTACAGAAGGGAATTTGGGGGGTTCCCAACCTTTGTGGCCCATCTCCCCTTTCTGGAGGTTAACTAACACCTATCGCCCCTTTGTCATTTTCCTTGTGTGTCTTTTAATAATCCGGAATTATGTTCGTCACGTTCAGGCGCAAGTCTCCTTTGAGGCAAATGTCCAACTTATTTCTTTGTTTTGTGAGGAGCTGGACAACAGAACTAAATCCTTTTTCAACTAAATATATTGACGGGAACGTGATGAGAAGTGGTTCAATTTTTCCCCACAGTTGTGGATAATTGTCCATAAGCTTCACCCAGGCGAACTCGTAACCGCTCGGCTGGANACTACAGATTTTAATCTTAAAAAATCCACTCGTATGGATTTTTGAATTATTTACAAGAGATACCGTGCAGGTAAATATAAAAGTTTTATGAAATAAATAAAATTTCTTATTGGTGTGAAGTTATCTATAAATCCCAGCCATAAACTTAAATCATTCATAATTCAGTAAATAATACGATTTGGGTTACCAAATTTCACATATGGGACACTCTTACCCTCAAGAACAGTTTGCAACCCCCATTTGGTAAAAAAAAATTTCAATCTGCACCCCTGAAAAAGGGATGTTTTGACCTTGATAGGCACCTTCGAATTTCGCCAAATTCTACCACACAATAAAACACAGTTCTAAGTATTTTTATCAATTTTCAAAACACTATAACCCTTAACGGTTTTTGAGAAAAAAAAATTAACATTAGAAACTACAGAAGGGAATTTGGGGGGTTCCCAACTGATTGTTTATTTTTATCTGGTGGGCGCTGGTTAACAAAAAAATCTTGGTTTTACGTTTCCATAAACTTTATTATTAATTACACTTAAACTTAATACATAAAAATTGCGATTAGTTATATAGCGAGAGTTATATAGGGAGCCTTGCTTCGCGTGAATTGAAGGGGTATTGTTTCGGTGGGTGTTAAATCAAAGACTGACTGACTGACTGATACAAGTTGAGCTCGCAGGCTCCTTCTTTATTTAAGGTCAAAACTAAAAACCCTTACCTAAACACCGAAATATACACCCCAACGCATTCCCACACTTAACTCAACCCAATAAATAATGCAATAAAAAACCCTAATCTTGCGACTCTGATACAAATAAATCTAATATGAACGAACTAATGTAATATAAATCTATCAAATCTAATATAAATTAACCAATATAATATAAAATCTAACACCAACCTTTGTGGCCCATATCCCCTTTCTGGAGGTTAACTAACACCTATTGCCTCCTTGTCATTTTCATTATGTGAATAATTTTAATAATCAGGAAGTTCAGGCGCAAGTCTCCTTTGAGGCAAATGTCCAACTTATTTATTTGTTTTGTGAGGAGCTGGACAACAGAACTAAATCCTTTTTCAACTAAATATATTGACGGGAACGTGATGAGAAGTGGTTCAATTTTTCCCCACAGTTGTGGATAATTGTCCATAAGCTTCACCCAGGCGAACTCGTAACCGCTCGCTTGAAAATGATTTCCGCCTCAGTCATACTTCAGATCTAGAAACTCCAGTTTCAAACGAAAATGGATTTAGAATCCAATCTGGTAGTGGCGGAACGGATATCCGACAACTATCCGGTATCCACCCATTTTTTAAAATCCGGCCGGATACCGGATAGTTACCAAATATCCGACATTGGTTGGATATTAAAAACCTATTACTTAGTACTCCACCATTCACAGGAATTAGTAACTCTTTTAAGTTTTGGACACTGCAGGTAATAATCAAGTTCAACTCCAATAAGACGTTTTTCATTGAATACAACTGTATTTATATCAGATTTGTATTAGCAACCCCTTGTAACAATCTCATTACAATATATAAAATCTCTTGTTGCAGTTTCGTCTAGTTTTCTTCTCTTCGGTTGTAATTCATCATCACTTTCATTACTAACAGAACTGTCGCTGTTATCACTTTCGATTATTAGTTAAAGTATCCTCTTTTTAATGCAAAAAGCCGTTTTGAAAAATCACTTTCAGTTCTTGAGAAATAAATTTTTGAAATGATAGACATTTTTTTCAAATTTTGCAATTCTCGCCGATTAAGTTTTAAAAATTCGTATAAAATCCATTTCTTGGAATATGAGTATGAAAATGCCCCAAAGTGTTAATAAAAGTGTCCTCTTTCCAATGAACCAACACGTTTTGAAAAATTACTTTTAGTTTTTGAGAAAATAATATTTGAAGTTTTGATAAAATTTTCGATGTTGCAATTTTCATCGATAACTTGAACAATTCGCTATAAAATTAATTTCTTGAAGAATCCTTGTGGAAATATCACCAATTATTAATTAAAGTATCCCCTTTTTAACGCAAAAAGCCGTTTTGAAAAATCACTTTCAGTTCTTGAGAAATAAATTTTTGAAATGAACAACAATTTTTTCAAATTTTGCAATTTTCGCCGATTAAGTTTTAAAAATTCGTATAAAATGCATTTCTTGGATGATGAGTATGAAAATATTCCAAAGTGTCAATAAAAGTGTCCTCATTCCAATGAACCAACACTTTTTGAAAAATTACTTTTAGTTTTTGAGAAAATAATATTTGAAATTTTGATAAAATTTTCGATGTTGCAATTTACATCGATAATTTTTGAGTTTATTGCGACATTGTTTTTGATCAGTTTTTAACGTGTTAAATAGTTCACTTAACCTCACTTTTTTCTAACAGCGTACTCCTCAAGCCTAAGAAAAAAGTTTTTACGCAATATGTCCTTCACACCTTCACCTTTTTTAATTAAAACTTCTTCTCCCGAATTCGTTTGGTGTAACATGCTTCCAGAAAATTTTGTCTTTAGTACTTAACCTCGTTGACGTCGTGCCTGAGGAAGGCAAGTAGTTGCCGAAACAGCTGTAGCACTGAAAAGTTAGTTTGAATAAACTGTTTAACACCGTTGATTTTCACCATTTTTGATTTCATGTATACCTTGGCCATGAGGTTCGTGTATCGAGAGATAATTAAACAAGCGAACTAAACAGAAACATCATACTCGCATGGGCAGCCTAGGGGAAACTTAAAAAGACATCTTCAAGAAAATCTATATTCCTATATACAAGGTGTCATTTTGTTGTAAGCGATATTTTTTGAATAACTTGAAAACGACTCAATGTTTTGTTTGGATTCTATCATTTTATTGAAATTTGGACTTGTACAATTTCCCCCAGCTGTAGGTGACTTCCCCCAGCTGTCACCACAAAATCGGCCCTTTTTTCGACGTTTTTTATCACTTGCGAGTGTTTGAGGCGTTATTTCTTGGCGTATGTTGGCCTTAAGTTGCTCAAGAATGTCTGGCTTGTTGACATAAACCTGGCTTCTAAGGTATCTCCACAGGAAAAACTCAGGAGGCGTTAAATCAGGCGAATGCACCAGCCAGTTGTAATCACCACTTTTCGATATCAATCAATTTGGAAACATGTTACGAAGCAAATTTATTGTTAACAGAGCAGTATGGCAAGTTACACCATCTTTCTGGAACCAGTAGTCCTCCATGCCATTTTCTTCGAGTTCAGTTGACCGTTACCGTCACGCCGTTGTCACGCTCTTGAATATCGACACTTACAGCAGCTATAGCGTCATCAGTAACGGCGTGTACGGGTCTTAATTTTGGGCTTCGATGTTGCCAAAGAACCACTGGCATTGAATTTCCTCACAAAACTTCGAATTGTTTTGGCTGTGGGCGTTGGACGACCGCGATATTTTGCTCTGTACACGCGTTGAGCAAGCGTAACAGAGAAACTTTTCTGGATATAAAATTTTACAATTTCTGCACGTTCTCTAGATGCGTGGTTAAAGTTGTACTACAATGATGTTTCCAATGCGCCATCAAACATGGCGATTTGACAGGAAGTTCAAAGTAACACAAAGATAGATGGAGAGGTCGATGCTGGGTGTAACGTTGAGGGACCACACACTAAATGAAGACCTATCAAGAAGAAGTGGCTTAAATAATGTGGTCAACATTGTAGCAAAGCTTGATGACAATAATCATAATAACTTGATCTAATCTAAATTACGACAGATTTGTCTGATTATAATATATTTTCGATCGTTGACAATTCCTCGTCTTCAACGTCCATTTCATCATCTTCCTCTTCATTTTTTTTCGGAATCTGATATATTTTTACTTGTATCACTTTTATACGTACTGTTTAGGTACTTAGACATCGCATTTAGTTTGTTGTGTCTTTTGTCGTATGTGGCTGGACATCGGTTTGTGTTTTAGTCTTGTCAAANATGCTGAAAGCCGTTTTGAAAAATCATTTTCAGTTCTTGAGTAATAAATTTTTGAAACGATCGACAATTTTATCAAATTTTGCAATTTTCGCCGATTAAGTTTTAAAAATTCGTATAAAATCCATTTCTTGGAATATGAGTGAAAATGTCCCAAAGTGTTAATAAAAGTGTCCTCTTTCCAATAAACCAACACGTTTTTAAAAATTACTTGTAGTTTTTGAGAAAACAATATTTGAAGTTTTGATAAAATTTTCGATATTGCAATTTTCATCGATAATTTTCAAAATTCGCTACAAAATTCATTTCTAGAAGGATCTTTGTGGAAATATCACCAATAATTATTAATCAAAAGTATTTAGATTTTTTGTCATGAAACATGCTAAAACAAGTAACATATAAA